ACTGTTCGCTCATCAGAGCCAGTACTTGATAGGTATTATTATGAATTAGCTGCGCGTGCATAATGGCAGCACCGGGAGAGATAGAGAGAGTCCTGTATTAGAAAATGGAATTCAAAACCTCTCCTTAGGTGCATTAAGGTGCTATCTTACTACCATTTAATAAAACAATCATATATGAGGAAACCAGTGGGTGTGATATCCTGTTGACCTATCTTTTGCTTGTTATTCTAGGCTCCAAAATGTTTAGTGTTTCAAATACTGGGGTTGAAAAGAATGTAACTCTGTACACACAAAAAAACATGCAAATTTGAGCAAAGCAGTGAATGTTACGAACCCTAGAGTAACCCTGAAGTACTGACTTGATATGAAATGGCTTTAATGCAGGGCACTACATAAAGACACATCTGCAGCTGGCTTGTGTTCAGTAACAGGTTCAGTGACGGGGACGAATGGTGTCACGGGTGGGAAGTGGACAGCGTTCATCTACAGAATTGCACATGCAAGCGAGCATCAGTGCTACCCAAGATTAACCATCTCTAACCAATCTGATGCCAATTTACAGTTACACACATTTTCCCTGCTTGTTGATTTTTACACATTTAATAACCTGCTAGGAAAACAGAATGTTTAGGGTATAATGTGCTGCTGCAGTAAAAGGATGTTCCTCCAATCAGATGTCATCCTTCAGCTGTACAATCCACACTTTTATCACTTCCTACATTCACTACAGTCATTCCCGTCTCCAGAGGAGGGGTCGCTGTAGGAGTCAGTGCAGCTGGTGAGGCAGGTTGAGAGCTTCTTGCTAAGCAGCACCCTGCTTTTAATTATAAATGAGGCCGAACTCGCAGTGACAGAGACCGAGTGCTCCTGAGCGTGAGGCCTCGGTGGCACAAGAACACAGGGTGATTGACCAAGTCACTAAGAGGTCCAGTCACTCACATGTGAGTGGGCACTGACCCCCCTACACTCGCCACAGCCCTGGAGAGAACAGGCAGGGAGAAGGTGGGCTGCCCTGTACATCCACAGCCCTCCCAAGTGGGGTGGAATTTCTGTCCGCATCAATTATTCAAGAGCCATCTTAGATAACACTCGCGGGCAGGATGGATGAGGTCTATTTCTGTATAGTACTTCATAAGGATGAAGACAGGAGGCATTTTTTATTTTGTGTGCTGGTGCTTCAGAAAGCGTATAACCAGCCCTCTCTTCTGTGCGGCTAAGGTAAAGCCTGAAGTGTCTTTGAAAAATGCTCTTAACACACTCCACGCTATTTTCTCTTTGCAGACATTCCAACATGTCAGCACTTTGTACCTGATCTGAGGGACACACACATTTCCTGCATCCTTGGACATTTAATATACACTAGGTGTTGCCAAGAGGGACCCATACAAAGGTGACAAAAGCCCCAGAAAGCCGGCCCGTGCTCCATCCTTTCACACTGTGACCACTAAATAACCCTCGGCTTTTCTGGTAAGGTTTCTGGGACTCCCAGCTGGGTCACATCGATGTCCATACGTGTCCTTTACTTTTCAGAGTAACGACAGACAGGCAAGAGGTACTGTCACCCTGCAGCTGATGCATTTTCCTGTTACACACATGAAGTATGAAAGTGTGTTACGTCACAGTTATGTGTGGTCACAAATGCAAAAAAGACTTGAGCCTTTCCAGTCAAAAGGGGCCAATTTACACAGCCTGCAAGTAGTAAGGGCTTACTAAATATCTAAATAGCTATCTATTTATATTTAATCTAATAAATACCTAAAAACAAGACATTTTACTGCTTCAGATTTAGCAGATTTTAGTGTATTTATGTATTCACAAAAGAGACAGAGAGGGAAGTTTGGCATTTTACCACATGCTATTCAACAATACTTACATATAAACGTGATCCATAATGCTTAAAAAACTATTTAAAAAAAACGCTTCTCTTTAAATCTCGTAATCTGAATTTTAAATGGTGATGGAAACAAAAAGAACCAATCGGCTAATATTCATTTCTTCAAAATGTTCGTCCATCTTTGTAGAAAGTAGAGCTACAGTAGAAGTGCAGTGCATTTATTAAAAGAACTCTTTGTACAGAAGCTCTACTTGATAACTGGTATTTGTTGTTGGAGGTAGAATTTTTTATCATTGCAACAAAAAGAGTTTGTCTGTGTTTTGGGTGCGTGACCTGTAAGTAAAAGTTACTCCTACTTGAGATGTGCAAAATAATTTTTCTGTTGTTGCTTTTCTTTTTGCTAATTTGCTTTATTTTCCTAAGGCCAGTGTTGTGTTCTTTTAAGTTATTTGCAATGGGAGTGCCGAATATGTGCCAGTCATCTATCCAACGCCTGCAGCTAGTTCAAAATGCAGCTGCTCGCCTCCTGACTGGAAAGACAAAGAGGATCCACATATCCCCTGTGTTGCTTTCCGTTCTCTGGCTTCCTGTCTGTTGCAGGATCCATTCTAAAACCATGTTGTTGACTTTTACATCTCCAAATGGACAGGCACTGCCTTACCTAGCTGAACGTCTTCCAAATTCATAATCAAACTAGAGCACTGAGGTCAACCAATCAGCTGCTCCTGGATGATCGCTCCTTTGAGGTAGCTGCCCCAACCTGAACCTTGAACAGCTTACCATTTCAAAGAAGACCTGCCCCCAGTCTGCAATCTTTCAACCATTGTTGAAGACATATTTCTTCTCTTAGGCCTTCCTTTCGAGATGTGAACATTTAATCTCTACAATCTTTTACAACTTTTTTTACCCAAAATAGATTTAAATATCTATCAATACTATTTTTAATAAATTCATTTATCAAGTCAAATCTTTTGTGATAAAATAAATTGACTTTATTTTGCGTGTCATGGAGCTGAGTGTTTGTGGTTACTGTTGGGCATTTTGCTCTGATCACACAGAGTTGAATACTCGTCAGCTTTTGAGAAGAGGCGGGGCGACACTTACAACAATGAACACAACCTTATAAACACTGTGGCATGCCTCTCCTCTCTCTCTCTCTCTCTCTCTCTCTCTTTCTCTCTCTCTAACCTTACCTTTATTCAGATCAATGGACAAAGCTGCTATCACACATTTTGCCAACTAAACAGCAACTTCAAGGCCTGACACATTTCACAGTGTCCTCTTCATTCTTTGTCTGGAGAAGTCAAGCTCCTGCCATCTGGTCCGATATTTAGACTATCAAAGACTAGCTCCAAAACAGTATTTTTATCTCTCATGCCAAAAAAACGAATAAAATCAACTCCCATGACGATCCTTTGGTTGATTAGCTTCTTATTGCCTAATGAAAATGTGAAGAATATTAAAGTTTTTAATGTCAGTATTCTGCACTCTAGTTTACCTGTTGTCACCTGACATATTTCTGTGTGTATGCATTTTATTTTATTTCTGAACCTATTTCTCTTTGTTTCATAAATGTTTCCTTGCTGCAGGACAAATCTATTATTGGGGGTAACAAAGGTGAAGTTGACATTTTTGCTTATATTCTGTTTTCCAGTGACAAGACAAGCAAAAGCATCTCAACGAAGGAAAGACTTCTCTACACTCTGCCTGACTCTTTCAGTTAATAGCGACGATTTGCTGAAATCGCAGCCTTTATGTTATGCTCTGAGTCAATGTAAAGAGCTTAAAGAAAAGAAAAGTAGAGGGAAATTGCTACATCGTTAAACAATAACATGGTCGACAATTTATTAAGCAAATTCCTAATTAGCATTCCTGTTTGCAATCCCATTATTACTTCATTAGAACTGAGTTGGACTTACATGAGGCTCTTTTTCTGAAAGGTAAAAGCTTAAGAGGGACAGAGAAATAACATTAATATGGATACAAGATTTCACAACACATTTTTTTTTTGCTAAACAAATGACTTGTTAATTGTTTTTGGAACATGATAAATGTAAGCTAATAAGGTAGTAAATGTTTTTGATAGTAGGGGCAGTAAATGTTATGTACTGGCCTGTGCGTTCATGCTTCATGTGGATGTATGATTTCTGTGTGTTCTCGCAGTGCGATGCCAACATGTCACAGGATCAGGGACATTGTGATCGTGACGGAACATCTTCCAGTTATTTCTGTCACACTCTGGCTCTCTTTCTGGTAGCAGTCCCGAGCACAGACTGTGATGCCGAGCAGCGACACGCAGGGAAGTATACCGGGGTCATATGTGACCTGGGCCGGTTCCCTGGTGAACACGGTTCTACTACGCTGGTCCTGTCAGTCTCAGAGCCAGCCAGTCAGTCATTCAGTTGGGGGGGGAAGGCGGGGGAGGGAGTGAAGACACACAGCGAGAGAAAGACTGAACGGCCGAAGACAAGTATTCCCTGCAGTCGATCTCAGCCCACAGAAGCGCTCAAATGATGCAGGATCTCTCTAGAGGCCTGCAGGGTGGAACTGGGTAAAGGAGGCACCTAAAGTTACACTCGCTACACTTAAGTTGGTTCCTGTCAATTACCAAAAGTGACGTAATGACTCAGAAAAGCACCTGTGAACTCTGCAGGGTGCTCTGAGATGACCGTCTTACTGGTGTAAATAAAACAAGCTTCACTGGGACTCTGAGGAAGGTGTTAATCCCTGACTAATGAACTCTGCCTCTGCCAGTAGCTTCCCTGGACATCTCCACCTGTGTGTGTGTGTTTGTTTGTGTATGTGAGTGTGCGTACATGTGCATGTGTGTGTGTTGGGGGATTCAGAAAGAGAGGGACAGGCTCTACTCTCCCGTCCCTCAGCCTGACAGGCAGAACTCAGGCACACAATTTCACGCTTTGTGGTCAGTACACACCACTGCTTTCCCATCCCTGAGACCCAGAAACCCGGGGAGTGAGTGTGTGTGTGTGTGTGTGTGTGTGTGTGTGTGTGTGTGTGTGTGAGAGAGAGTGTGTGTTAGTCTGTGCATATGAACATGACACACATACACACACCTCCTCTGCTATTAATACGAGGGGGAAAGAAGAAATCAAATATTAATCCTTCAACGCCCTCCTGGAATTGAAAAAAAAATGAGTGGACTTACCATTTTGTTATTGATTTCATGAAAATGAATTTCACAGACTTTCTCTACGATGTCTTCACTCTCAAAAGTTATGAAACCAAATCCTATGCAAGGAGAAACAGAGAAGGGGAGAGGGGGGGGGAGAGGGAGAGAGAATGAGTTAGTGGAGAGTCTTAACAAAACTCAAAGACTGTGCACCAAAAAGATGGCACATTATCAAGGAGCCACATCCAGAAACTATGCGAGTACATCTGTGGAGATTGGCTCGGGCATGGAAAAGAACAAGTGAACAAGACAGACATTGTCCTCTTTAAATCAGGAATATGATGAAATCTGCCACATTATTAAGGGCACTCGAGGACCTCTTCTACAAAGAGAAGATGGAAAAACAGCACAAAGCTCATTTAATGAGATTCAGAGAGCCAGGGCCCGAGCATCTGAATTTCATTAAAAGCATTTTGTGTTCTTTTTATTGAAATTTCACTGTATAACAAGCTCTCGTTTTTATGTTAATGCAGGCCTTAGAGTGAATGCATCGTTGACAGTGGGATTTTCATGCCATATTTATAGGATAAAAGCTTAACCCCTCTTTTAAACACAAAGACACAGAGACAAGATGGTTGCAGACTTTTGAACACAAGTGGATTGCAATGCTCTCCTCTGTGTTTTCATGATGATGCACAAAGCAATCGAGCTTCTGTATGGCTGTGCTTGAAAGGGAAAACTGATATTCTATTACTTTTGCCAAAAGAGGAAACGGCACAAAAGAGAAACAGTTAGTGAATAAAAGCAGCAAGTGGGACTGAAAGGAGATGAGTTTCTTTTCAAAATGGCAGACACCCGAGGATGGAGCACAATCACCTCAGATTGAGTTTAAACAGCTGTCACTGCAGACATCTCGCCATCTGACTAACACACACACACACACACACACACACACACACACACACACACACACTCACACTCACACACACCCACACTGCAGACAGCATCAGTTTATTATAGCTAATGTCAGATGACACAGGAGAAACACTGAATATCAAACACATTTTCAAATAGAACTTGTTTAGAAGATAAATAACAGTGAATACGATCATTTTCAAACAAGTTTAGACAAATCCAGGTATTCAAGTAAAAGCTCACAGTCGTTCTTTTCTTTCAATGGAGAAATCTCAAGGTCAATGACTGAAGGGAGGGACGGCTCTTTTTGAGACTAGTGACATCACATACTCAAACAATATCATGCACTGCAAACAATGTTTTACAAACCAAACATGCAAGCAAGGATTCATTTTGTTTCCTATGAATGAGCTGGTCTTTGGCTCAGAATAATATTAAAAACCTACAAAGAGTGCAACATGATGAATTCAAATGTCTTCAATTCAACCTAAAGTGAATTAATAAATTCAGTTCACAGTGATTTATAAAAAACAAACATCTATTTTATTTTGTCAGTGTTGGAGAGGAAACTAATGAATATATTTATCTTTTATAAAAGTTGCAAATAGATACCCCTTATGTTAACTTTTATTGCATAACCATTGAAGCTCCAAATTCTATGGCAGTTTTCCCATAATTCCTCTGGCTGAGTTTGGCCATTTTGGGCAAACACTGAACTGGACTGCTTTGTGGCTTCAGAAGTTTCCAAGGATTTGTAACCAATATGATTAATTATTATTAAATGATTACTTAATTCTCTAAATTAGTTGATTCCCTTGTGAACCAATTGTGTCATTTATCAAAAATGTACATTTCTGTTCATTACACATCAATGCACTTCACCTTTTATTTTATATCAAGCACCCATTGAGAATGGTAAAAATGGACTTGAGCTTGTATAGTGCTTTTCTAGTCCCCTGACTACTAAAAGCATTTTTTACAACACAGGTCACACCTTCACATTCACACACTGATGGCAGAGGTTGTTATGTAAAGTGATCATCAGAATGAATCCCATTCATACACATTCATACGCTGCTGGCAAAGCAGCAAGAGCTACTTGGGGTTAAGTGTCAAGCCCAAAGACACATCAGAAATGTGCAGGATCTGTGGATTGAGCCCCCAACCTTCTGGCTGAGAGAAGACCGACTCCACCATTGATGCTTTTCGCATCAATTCATTAAATCATCCAGAAAGAATAAGACATCTTTGTGAAGGGGAGCAGCTGCTATCTATAAACCCAACCACAAAAAAGCCACAATAACTAGCATTTATAGTTTTGTCTCTCATCTCCTTCTTTCATTTTTTTCTGCTCTTTCTCTATAAAAAACGAAAAAAAAAAGCGTTACCCTTGATCCACTCAGATTTGTCAAAAGAAGGGATGGCAACCGAATCTGTGAGCTGATTAAACACAAACATCTGATCTGATGAGATCTTATGAGACAGAATATCAATTTCCACTGAGACATCTTAACATCGAGCTGTGGTGACACGTGTATATGTGTGTGTGTGTGTGTGTGTGAAGGGTGGGGGGGGGGGAACTAATGATGATGACAGGTAGAGCTGTTTCACCCTCTCCTCCAGCACACCCCACCTTCATGCTAGTGCGAGGAGCTCTTTTGACAACCAACAAATCAACCGCCAGGAGTAATTTGTCATGGAGGAGTGCAGGTAGACGGAGTGAAGTATCGGTGGGAGAAGGAGGGCAGAGAGGCAGAAAAGAAAAAGGTGGAGATGAAAGGAGAAGGGGGTGGGCAGAAGGGGAGAAAAAGGCAGAAAAAAAAGTGACAAGGGAAGAGGTTAACACACATGTGGCCCTGTCGCCACACTCCTTCCTGCTGCTACAGGCAGCTCCTCCATCAACTGACAGGACATTTTCTGCTGCACCATTATATCCACCCGGGGGTCAGGGCCAAGCCACAGCAGCGCCACACATACCACCAGCAGGGCTCCTCCACCCATGACTGGATCTGTTTAAATGGACAAAAATACATTTTGTGTGGTGTAAACTACTACTGGAATGTGTCCCGTACACAAAAAAATACCCCTATTTTCCTGTTTCCTCGGCTGAGCACACAACTTCTCGGACTGTCTGAACCTCTGGCCCCCCATTGCAGTGTCTTCCCTTTAGCTCTACTATCCTATTTTACAGCCTTTACAGACAATTACAGGCCACAAAATAGCACCAAACACAAGCATTTCTCTCCCCCGTCCTCCTTTTGCCGGATGTCAGCAAGAGCCAGATTGTCCGCATTCATCCCAGCTCTTCTCTTTTCTTCTTCCAACAATCCACACATGGCGGGAGGCTGACCTCCACCAGACTATTAAAGACTGTCAGCAGTGACAGACAGAAGGAGAGAGGTGTCAATGCGCTCACACACTCAGGAACCTTCCCACAGCTTAAACAATAGCTTGTAAATGGAAACACATGGAAGTCTGGGCGGTAAAGGCTGATAATAGGTGTTGTGTGGCTACTGGCCGAGGCCTCTTGGCTGCACTCGCTCACACTTATTAGCGAGAAGCCGGGCGCTCAGCCTCATCTCATCGCTCCACAGAATCGGCAGGGAGCCTGCTTTCACGGCCTTTTACCAGCTTCATCATACTCGCTCTTTATTTCACACTTATTTCAGCTTTCTCTGCTTCTGTTGCTTCAGTGCTTTTCACCCGACTTACCCAAGCACCCCCACCCCAAGCTGGGGAAAAAAAAAGGCTGATCCTGCCAGAAACAGATAACGTAAGAACTTGCAAATTGATGCAGCAAAGTTGACTTTGACTTGAAAAGTGGTGTCGCAAGCTTTAAATTAAGAGTGGTTGGAAACTTCATAGGATTTTCTAATGTGTTAACCACCGATGTAAAGTGTGCTTAATTGCTTCTCTTACATTTTTCCTTTTGATGCCTGACAAGACTTCAATATGCGCCACAGAGATATTTTCAAAAGTTATGCGCTTTAATGAAAAAGGAAAAAAAGCTTTTATTGGTCTAAATGTTCCTTTTATTTATCAGGAATCATACGCTATAAGAAGTGCAGGTGTAGGAGGAGTTTTAGAATGAATAAGAAGTTAAGTACAAGTTGATGGAAACTTAGAACTAAACCCAAAACTCCTCCTAAGCATTTAAGTATGGGGGAATGTAAGGGACATACTGTTTGCATTATCTGTGATAAAATAACAGAATAAAAGACCTAGTGCTCATTACCAAGGGTCCTTTCTAAATGTTCACATAATCCAAGAATGGGAAATCTTTTGAAAAATAATGATGTTTCTTTTTAAAGTGTGTGTGAAGAGATTTTCTTTACTTACGACAGTGGGGTGAAACTACTAAGCAATTCAGTAACTACATGTATCTGCACATTAACATTGATAACTGTGATGCTAGTTTAGGAAAATAAATCTACATTTATGAGTTGCTGTAGCTGCTGAAATATTACAAAGTGAAGATATGTAGATCTTGGCTGGAAGTGCAATTAAATTGTTTTAAACGGGGAAAGTGATGCCAACAAACTGGGCTGCAGGGCCACCCCTTGGTGTGTTGCATTACTTGAAAATTTCCTGTCAAGTGATGCAAGTGCCTAATATTTCAACTGCCAAAAAGTGAACTGCCAAGAACTTATTTGTATAAAACTTAAACAAGTTTTGCTCAAACTACTAAACGACTGACACTGTTGTTGTTGTTATAGCAACATAGTGACTCATCACAGTGCTGTACTCTGCAAGTGGTGTAATGCTCTGCATCCTATCTCATGGTGAGGTGACTTCTCATCATGTGAAGGTAGCTTAATGCTTCAACAACAAGGCTGTATAATAGTACTGAATAAAAGTGCGTCTAATGAGAGGAGCCTGCTGCTGGGAGCCGGGAAATGTCACAACCTGGAGAAGGTGTCAGCTGTGACCTCTGGGACACAGCATGAGGGAAATGGAAGCCCCCCTCCCCAGCCCACATCCCACAATGAGCCATGGAAACATATACAACCACTGGCACAGTGCAGTATAAATGCATATGTGCATACACAAACACACACACACACACATACAGAAAATGTACAATAAGCCACTAGGAAAAAAGTGCAGCTCACCTGCAGCTACAACTGCTGCTCAAATTGAATTGTATATCCCATCACATAAATGCATGATCAAACCCTCACCTGTCCAACAAGAAGCAGGCCTA